GTGCCTGATTGCGTGACGTCGGAGCTCAAGTCCCCTGGTGCGAATCCCTGTGCGAAGCCTCATTCGGATGATACCAAGCGCAGGAAGGCTGCTCTTCCACGAGTGCTTCGGGATGCCGTTCCTGAGCAGCGACCTCCCCCTCTTCTTCCCTGGATGTGTGCAGCCTCCATTGTAGGTTGGAGATCCGTAGGGATTCCATGCTGATTGTTTAATGGTTCAACGGTTGCTGGAAACTGTTTGACGGCTTTTACGGTCCCCTTCGCTGCCACGGTTCAGCGTCGGCTCGAAAAAATGTGGCCCCGTGAGGAATTGCGCCTCACGAGGACACTGGTCATTGGTGTAGGCACGTGTATAGGGAGTTGAATCAACGAGCTGACGCCCTTACCTCCGAGGTCCTTGCCGCCTGGCAGTCTCATGGCTTTTACCCCCCGCCTCCTTTTCCCCTGCAGGAGGTGAAGTTCGTGACTACCCAAGTCGACGGGGGTTCGAAGAATGGACTTGCTTCGAGTGGTTGGCATGCCGATGTCGCCCGTTTCTGTGACCAGCACTGCTCCCCCATCTTCCATCGAGTCGCGGAGGGCTCGGCCTTTGAGGGAGAGGGTACTGTCACCCTTGAAGAACTGCGAGGTCTTGTCCAGGTGGTGGAGGCGATTCACAGCACGCTCGTGCTACGTGAAATTCATTTTGATTCGCAGGCGCGTGCGCGATAATGCTGGCTCTAGCAATTTGTTGCTGTCCGAGGTTTTCTCTTTCTCTGTTTTGTCGTACCTGACATTGCTTATATACCCATCTCATGTTTGAGTAGCGCGGGTGGAAAAACGCACAAATGTCTGGAAGTCCACTTCCAATCCATACTGGTACATTTTCGCTGGGACAGCGCAGAACTGCAATCAAACAGATGAATGAAGAAGGCATCCGGTCCAGACGATGTCCAGCCAGAGGTCTGGAACATGTTCGCAGACGGTGCGGAAGCATGTGGATCCCTTCTGCACGTATGTCCGACATGTTGGGGTAACAAAAACGTGCCCGCAGCATGGAGGCGCGCCACTGTTTTCTGTTATTCAAGCAGGGCGATATGTGCTTGCCCAACAACTACACGCCAATGTCCTTCCTAGCCGTAGGAGGCAAGACAACTCCGGCAATGGAGGCTGCGAAACAAGGGCGCGGGAGTCCCAGTTCGGCCTCGGTCCGGCACGTGGCACAGCTGATGCTTTTATGTATTCGCGGCGGATGGTGGACGCAGCGCGCTCGGACCATGGATGAGCGTCCTAAGCCTGCCTGCATGTTCGCTGCGCTCGAGAGATCTGGGCCTCCTGGGCAAATGGTAGCAATGATGCAGGTTATGTGCGCAGAGCTGTATTTAAGTATCGTAGGCCATTGTAAACGATCATCAGGGAGGAAGCAAGCAGCAGTGGTCGCTTAATGGTTCCTGCTGAGCTGGTATTTCTTTTAGACGGTTCGCGTAACCCCACCAGCCGGTCCAGAAACGATGCCCAGACCGGTTGTTTTTTTTATTATGGGTGTGGAGGAGAACGCTGAGGAATAACGGGCTGGGTAGGACGTCGTGCCCCAGGAGGGGGAGGATGGAGGAATATTCGAAGGAGGAGCAAGAAGAGGATGAGTAGGGAGGGGGAGGATGAGGCACCAGGAAGGAGGAGGAACAGGCGGATGAGGAAGAGGAGGAGGTGAAGGAGGAAAAGGAAGAGGAGGAGGAGGAGGGCGAGCAGAACTGCCAGAGGCCTCCTGGATGCCCCTCGGAGTCTTTTCGGAGTTCGTTCGGGAGCTTTTGGGGGTCCTCGTGGGGCGACTTTGGGGCCTCTTGGCACTCCAGGGGGGCCTCTTGGGGCCTCTTGTGGCCTTTTTGGCGGTCTGTCGGGAGCCTCTTGGTGGCCTCTTGGGGGGGGCCTCTTGGGGGCCTCGTGGGGCCTCCTGGGCACTTCTTGGGCACCCATTGGGGGCACCTCTTGGGTGCCTCGTGGGCCATCTTGAAGGAGATGGATCAAAGGAGGGGGGGGGCTCCAGACGTCCCCCCCGAGGAAACGAACTTGAGGCCAAAACCATCGTAAAATCACTGATGTTGACCATCTTGCCGAGGCCTCTTGGGGCGTCTTGGGTGCCACTGGGGGGCTTCATGGGGCGTCTTAGGGGGTCTCTTGGGAGTCTCGTGGGAGCATTTGAGGGGCCTCTTGGCGCCTCCTGGGCACCTCTTGGGGCCCTTTTGGGGCACCCTCGGGGGCCATTTCGGGGCCATCTTGGAGGAGATCGATCAAAGGAGGGGAGCTCCTCAAGTATGTTCCCCCCCCTTTATGAGGCCAACATGTGGCCAACACCTGGTGAAATCACTGATGTTGGCCATCTCGCCGAGGCCATCTTAGACGTTCCAACGTTGCGCGACCCCCCCCGTCCAGACCCAGGGGGAGGGGGTATGGGGGAGGGGTACACCCCTTCCCGAAGGAGAAGAAGGGGGGTGGAAGAAGAAACTTTCTGAGCCGCTCACGCCCGAAAGGGCTGCTGATATTTTTCGCAGTTTAACTTGCAATGCTGCACGACGCGTTGGCCGGATTGGTTCTGCAAGTGGAGCCAGACTGCGTCTTGACCAGGGGCATTTCCGACGCCGACGACACCGAGTGGCATCCCAACGCCCAGGCAATTTGCAACCCATGCCAGAAGCTATTTTGACAGAGTTGCAGAAGTATGGTTTGTAATGGATTCGGGATAAGACCGTGCAGATAAACGAATCTGCGATCGGTGAAGTCAGGTTACCCACAGGCGAACCCATCAGGAACGTGAGGGGCGCTGTCTATTTGGGAGGTTTGATATATTGTGACGGTACAGCCAGGAACGAACTATGTCGAACATTGGGATGGCGTTCGAGCGCCTTCAGTTCGCTACAGAAGCTCGGGCATCACACTTCAATTTGGAAGCGCCTGCAGTTATACATATGTATTTGTCTATGTCTATATGTATGTATACATATGCATGTGTATATATATATATACATAAGTTGCGCGGTCAGCAAGGTGTTGTAAGGTGTGTTTTCTCCGTGGCCACCCAAGGCGGACAACAATTGGTTTGATCCGTTTCATTGCAGGTGTTTGCGCAAGATCTTTGGGATACCACATCCCTATGTGTCCAGAGTCTGTAACGTGGGTGTTTTGAGTCAAGCGCAGGAGACACCTCTGTCAGACTGTACATGTGACAGGCAAAAGAAGCCATACGAGAAAAGCACGACACATGGAAATCATTCGCTGGTGAGGCACATGATATGTCAATATCATGGTGCGCCCAAACATTGGGCTGTTCGTCGCCGCGTCGTGGTCGGCTCTGGAAACAATGGTCAGCTGATGTGTACAACTGGCGATGTGTTTATCATCATCATTCTTCTGATTTGCGTCATCTGTCATCTCTCCCCTTCCTCCTCCTTCCTCTTCCACCTTCAGGTGGAAGGCTACTCGCACGTTACTTTCCCACTCCGTTGTCAACGGCGCAACTTTGAGTCTGCCGACGCGTCCTTCTGGATGCCTGGCGTTTGATTGCTTGGGCCGTCGGCCCTTGGCTCTTCGGCCTGCCGCAGACCGACGGGTCATGTGCCAGAATCGTTCCGATAATTTCGCGGACGCGCACCCAGTCCATAGATGTCCCGTATGGGGTGCACCAAAAAAGCCCTCGCCTCCGAGAGGCCGAGAGGTTGCGGGAATCTCTTCGGTGGAAGGTGGTGGAAGGCCAGTGGAAGCCCAAGAAGGGCGGCTCCGCTGGCGGAAGGCTTACGGAAGCCGGCGGAAACACAAGTTGTCTCCAAGAAGTGTTATTTTGTTTAGGTTCAAGGTTTCCTGAGCAGGCCATGTGGCTTGGACGGTGGACCTTCCTTGCTCCTTTTTTCAAGAGGCCTTCTCGGGCTCGATCGCTAGAGGCTCGAGGTGAGCTTGACCTATGTCTTGGCATGTCCAGGCCTTTTGGGGCTCGTCCAGCGTCAGCTTGGGGCCCCATGTCACGCCACGTGGGATCAAATCCTCGTGGATGACTTCTCGCAGGCCCACGAGCATATGCACATCTGTCTGGATACCATCCTGGTAATGGTTCTGTTTGGGCGTCTGGCTGCCGTCCTGATGTTAGTCTGCGCGAAGCGTTCGGCCGCAACATTCAACCGCTCGACAGGCCCTTTTCTTCAGGGTGCCGCCCAGTTGGGCCATGCTGGGGCAGTAGGGCGGCATCTACAGGACAAAGTTCCTCTTGCGCATGCTTGCCCATGCTTTTCTTGAAATCGCACTCACTCAGATGCAGGCTGGATATTAATGAGGCGATGCCGCAAGCGGGCTCAAGAGTTCACTGCCCCGTCGTCGGTTGCCCTCGACATGACCGCCGCAGCCGCTCGTGGAGCTCTGAGCAAAATATGCGGGCGCACCTCGAAGGACATCGGAATGGCACGTTGCAGGGAACTATTCCAGCTGAGTTTCTTCGGCAGCATCGGCTAGTACCATGGGTGGGGTGTGCGCGGCTGGTGGTCGGACCCGCCGGCCCGATGCACCCTTCTTGTCGGCACCTCGCTCGGTCAGCGGCGGGTCCGCCGGGGCAGCCAGCGCCTGACCGCGGCCGCTTCTCTGGATCGGGGGCCGCGGGCCTGCCGCCCCTCGTAGACATCATGCAGGCCAACGTGCGTACTGAGAAAAGGGTGCCGAGCTCATGCAAACGCCTGTGGTCCACAGTTTCGACCCGGGCTATGGCATCGGCAGTTCGGCAGTTTTTCTGAACGTGGTGCCAGGGGTGGTTGTCCCCGAAGGTGCAATGCACCGCTCACGCGATGCTTTGGCCGAGCTTCTGATGCTGCCAAAGTGCGTCCTAGCAGCGGCCACGAGGTCCGGGAAGAAACACAAACATGTGCAGGACCGCCTCATCAGGACCCGCTTGCAGCAATGGGCAGATGGTGATCGCTTACAGTTGTGGCGCGCCCGACCTGAGGCTAAGTCACAGCAGCCCACGACCGCTTCGGAGGGGCAGCGGAGGCGCCGTGCCACCGCCTTCGCCGAGGAAGGCCTCGACGGGCAGGCGTGCAAGGCATTGTTTTCCAAGAGCATGGCTGACACGATCATCAGGATGCCGAGAGCGTTGGAGCGGAAGCACCCTCAGGAGATCGAGGAGCGTGATCTCAGAACTCTGCAAGGTGTGAGTGGACCGCAGGAGGATCCCCTAGATGAGGATATTTTGGCCGCTTTGAGAACCTTCCCGAAGTGCTCAGCCAGCGAGCCTTCCGGGCTGAATGCGCAGCACCTTCTTGATGCGCCGTGGCAAGCCTTGACCAAGCCTCTTGCATTGAGGCGTTGACAGACCTCGTTAATCTTCTTGCCCGTGGGCAGGCTGCTCAGCATTTGTCCCAACATGTAGCTGGCGCCTCGCTCACCGCATTGCCGAAAGATGACGGCGATATTCGACCAATCGCGGCGGCAGAGGTCTGTCGCAGACTTACCAGCAAAGTTTTGTGTGCAGACGTCAAGGCCGAAGCGGGCCGCCTGTTCTGGCCTTTGCTAGTTGGCGTGGCCAGCCCGCTGGGAACAGAAACTGTCGTTCACACCTTTCAACAATATGTCATCCGCCACCGGAACTCTCCAGACAAAGCCGTCCTCCTGATTGGTTTTACGAATGCTTTCAATAGCGTGCAGCGGTTTGTTTTTTTGGACGAGGTTGGCAGGCACATGCCATGCTTGGAGGTTTGGGCTAGGTGGTGTTACGGCGGTCTGTCGGGCCTGTTTTTTGGCAGCCACGTGCTGACGTCCAACAGGGGAGTCCAGCAGGGCGACGCTCTTGGTCCTCTCCTGTTCTCGTTGGCTGTTCGCCCTCTCTTGCAGGCGCTGAAGAGCGATGCTGGGTTAGACACCGTATGCGTTTACCTCGACGACTTCTGCGTGGCTGGCGAGTTCGGTGCTACGCTGCGGGCGTTGCGGCTGATTCAGCCAAAAGCGGCAAGCCTGGGCCTCGAGCTGAATTTGGACAAGTGCGAGGTCATTCCAGCGGCTGGGTGCAACGCGGAGTGCAACCTGGCCGAGTTCCCCGCCGCTGCCCAGCGGAAAGTCGACGGTTGTTTCAAATTGATGGGCGCCCCTGCCGGCGGCCAAGAGCATTGCGCAGAGTGCGTGGAAGTGAAGAGAGTGCAGAAGCTGACCGCGATGCTCGACGAGGTGCCGCTTTTGGAGGGCGCCGTCGCCCACAAGTTGCTTGCTCGATGCTTTGGAGCTGCAAGACTTATGCATAATATGCGGACGACGCGGCCTGACTGGATAACGCGCGGGCTGGAACGGAGCCAGCAGGCTCTCTGGCTGACGTTCCTGATCTGCACAGGCGCAGCGCTGAACAAGCGTCAGCGGCAGCGGGCGCCCCTCCCCTTGAGCAGGGGAGGGCTGGGATTTCGGCTCGGAAATTTTCACGCTGCTGCTGTTAAGGCCCAGTGAAGCGACCCCCCCCCCTTAAGTTTCGTTCAGTGCGTCGCCCGAGCGTCGCCCGTGCGCCGGCCCTGGTTTGCGTCTCTGTCCCGAATCCCGGCCTCCCAGAGTGCGTGGGCGACATATGGCGCGACTTCGGAATTTCTCTGGCGATATATAGGTTTCCGACGCCGGTGCACCAGCGGCCATTCTGGCGGTCGCGGCGCACTCTAGTTCGACGGTCCACCAACGCGTTCTGTTCCCAATTCGGCGCAAGAGGATTTGCTGGTGCTCATTTTCGGGGGCGCCAACCGCTGCTGAGGACGAAGACGCCTCGCGTTGATTGGGGGCTGTGCGTGTCGCGCCGCGGCGGGGGTGACGTCACGTCGCGCGACGCGGCGCCACTTCGCCCCGTCGCATCGCGCCCCGCACCCCCATGTCGTTTCGCGCCAATCTTCCTGCCCCCCCCCCTCTTCCTTCCTCTTCCCCTCGTCCAACGCGCTGCGCGTTTTGTCCCGTTTGCGAAATTCGCATTCAGTTCTTTTGTGTCAGGCTGCCGTCCTGTCCGCCTCCCTACTCGCCCCCCGATGTCCTTCCACCCTCCTGGAACTTCTTCTCGCCCTCCTCGCTCCCGCCGCCCCCCTTCGATCGCCTTCCATCGATCCCGCCGCCGCTGCGCCGCCCCCGCGCGCCCCCTCCTCGCCCGTCCGTTCCCATATCCGCCCGCCCTTCCCTCGCCTCACTTCCATCCCCTTTTTCCCCCCCAATGCGTCGGCGGGCGAGACGTCGCCAAATTGCTGCAGCGACGGACCAGCGTTCAAAATCTGACGGGGCGCGCGCTTGAAATGGATTAGTCCGTGCGCGCTGCATCTCCATGTCGTCTATTGGTTTCCTCGCGTTCGTAGTTCTCACCTGCGTGTCTCGCTATTTCTACAGTGCCGCGCGCATCCCTGGATTGTTTCGCCGGCGGGCCGTGCAGTTCACGCGCCGTCGGGGGTCCACGGCGCCCTCCGAGCAATTCGCGCGCGACCTGCGCGCGACGCGCGAACGACCCGAGCGACGCCCGCGCGACGCCCGCGCGACGCGCGCGCGACGCGCGCGCGACGCACCCCGACCCGCGCGCGACGCACCCCTGCCAGCGCGCGACGCACGATCGACCCGCGCGACGCACGCGCCACGCGCGCGACGCACGCGCCACGCGCGCGACGCACGCGCGACGCACGCGCGACGCAGTCGCGATTTTGCCCGCGCTTAGCATTTCTCCGAGCAGCAGTGCGCAACGGCCGTCGGCCCGCCGTGCTTGCGCTGTTCACATGTGGCGGCGGCTGCGTCCTCCACTGCGCCAGGAAGGGCGGTGCTTGCCCTTGTTATTTCCCTTTTCCTTCCTCGTCGCCCCTCCTTTTTTATCATTCCTCCTCCTTCGTCCTGTCTCCTGCCTCGTCTCCCTCTCTCCCCCCCTTCTCCTCCTTTCCACCGGCCTCCCTCTGTCTGTCCCTCCCCCCTCCTCTCTCGTCATTGTTTTTTCATTGCCACCCAATGTCCCTCTTCATTTCCCTTCTCTCCTTCGGCCCCCCTCCCACGGCCGCGGCGCGTCGCCGCAAGCGGCGCCCCCGGCGGGGCGGCGGAAGAGGAAGATCACGAGGAGAAAAGGAGGGGGGAGGGGCAGGGGCGCGAGGCGGGCGCGGCGGCAAGGGCGGCCCGGCAGGGGAATGGGGGGGAGGGGGGGGGAACGGAGTGGGCGGGTGCTTGTGTAATGGTCATGTCGGTGATCATGGTCGTGGTCGCGTTCGTCGCCTTGGTCGCGCTGGCGGCGGTCGCGCCGCTGGCGCGTCGGTGATCGTGCCAGTGTCGGTCGTTGTGGTGGTCGCGAGAAGCGTGGTGGTCGCGGTGGTGGTGATGGCGGTAAATGGTGTTGGTCGTAATCGTCGCGGTGGATGTGATTGCGGTCGCATCCGTTTGTGGTGATCGTGGTGGCGGTAGTTTTGGCGCTGGCGGCGGCTGCGGCGGCTGCGGCGGCGGCTGCGGGGACCTGCTGGCCTATCGCCGGGGTGCGTTCAGCAGCATCGCTGCATTTGTAATGTTAGAGGGATTTGCTGATCTGCCGAGGTGGCCTAGCGGCCGCCTTCTTCTCGCTGAGAGGGCCGCGGCGTGGGCGACTTTCTTTTTCCCGAAGGCGACCGGCCTTTTCAGCGGCCGTGGAGAGGGCGACGCGCGTGCGATCCTCCCCGCGGGCGTCCGCCGCGCCGGCGACGCGCTCGCCAAATTGCCCCCTTGCGTGGGCGACGTGCACGTTCGAGAGGGCGGCTGGCCTTTTCGGCGGCCGACGCACGGGCGGCGCACGGGCGACGAATGCGCGACGCACCTCCTGTCGTGAAGGGGGGCGGGGGTCAGCGCGCCGGTCGCTGTGCTGGGCCTTGACAGCTGCTGCCGCCGACCATGCTTCCCGCGTGGCAGTGCGTCACTTATGCGGTCAGATAGACGCTGCCTTCTCGTGGGGCGGGGACTGCGATGGCGGCGCCCTGGCCGCAGCTGTCAACTTCTACAATGTTGGCGCCCGCCAGGAGCACCACGTCACAAGCGAGGATTATGCTGCCGACGGCTCCTTCCCCAGCCAGCGGGTTCTGCCAGCGAAAGTGGACGAGCGTCTCTTGGGCCAGCTGATCGCTGTAAACCCAGACGCCCACAAGGCGGGGCTCCTCCCAGCCAGCGCGCCGCGCGCGAGCGCGTGGCTGCAGGCCCAGCCGCGCAGCGCCCTCGGGCAGCGCATGTCCCACTTCGAGTTCGCGGCAGCCGAGCGTTTGCGCTGGGTTGCCGCGCCTCTAGCAGAGGCGATTGGCGTCGCGGTCAGGGTGCACGACGCCCTGCGCGATCAGGTCCACTCCTTCGCGCATGCTGCGGGCCTCCGGGCCGAGAAGGAGGAGGGCGGGCTGCTGCCGGGCGACCCTCGCCAGCGGCTGGGCGACATATATTTCCCGACCTGGCCGCTTGGCCCGCCCCAGGCCCTCGACTTTGCCGCGGCGCCGCCGCTCAGGTAGTCTGCGGCGCAAGGGGCCGCCGCCAGACAGCTGGGCGCGGCCGCGTCGCGCGAGGGAGGGAAGCTTGCTGACGGAGATACTGGCGCGCGCTGCGAGCAACTTGGCATCCGCCCAGCCCCAGTGGTCGCGGAGCCCTTCGGCGGATGGGGCGAGATGACGCAAGACGTGTTCCGGGCCTTGAATCGCGCCCGCGCAGCGCGCAGTGGCGAGACGGCAAGCAGCGTCGCCGCTTCCTTATGTTCTGGCCTTATCATCACTTTGACGCGCGCGAACGCGCGCGCTCTGCTGGCCAGTGCCCCTCAGGAAGTCGGGGCCCACGCTGACCATGCAAGCCGCGCGGCGACCATGCTGCCGGCGGGGCGCCAGGAAGAGGCCGGCGCCCAGAGCGACTGAGGGCTATAGTTTTCCACCCCCCCCTCCTCCGATGGCATTTTTCCTTTTGCGCTGTCGCCCGCAGGCACCTCTCGGCCCGCGCCCTTTCTTGCCTTGGCCCCGGCCCTCGTTCGGTTCCCCTTCCCCTTTCTCTTCCCCTCCCTCTTCTGTCTTATATATATATGCTTGTTTGCTTTTTTTTTTTTTTTTTTTTTTTTTTTTTTCTCTCTCTCTCTCTCTCTCTCTCTCTCTCTCTCTCTCTCTCTCTCTCTCTCTCTCTCTCTCTCTCTCTCTCTCTCTCTCTCTCTCTCTGTGTCTTCCTTTCTTTCTCTCTCTTCCTCCCCCTTGGCCCCCCCCTGCCCCCCGCCCCTCCGTCTGTCGGCTCGGGCTGTCCTTTCCCGTCGTCTTCCCTCCCTCTCCCCCTCCGCCTCTCGCTCCTCGGCCCCTCGGCCCGTCGCCCCCCTGCCCGCTTCTGCGCCCTGCCTGGCCCGCTTTTCTTCGTCGGCCCGTTCCGCGGTCCAAATGAGAGCTGCGGTAGCTTGCCATTCACTGGCATCATTGCCGCGATCGGGGCGCTGTCGGAGGTTCAGCTTTAGGGCACATGCTTGTAAGAATGCGCACTCCTTTAGCACGCTCTTTGCGCGTTGCCGCCCTAGTGGAGTTCGGCCCGGGGCAGCGTCTGCACTAAGAGCGATTTCTTCGACTTCATTCGCCATGGTGAGTGGGCGGAAGGAAGCCTCCGCCACTCAGATGCTTGAATTTGCCATTTTGGCTCAAGTTACCGTTTGGGCTTGCAAGCGACCTTGCAGTTCGCGTGCGTCTTCCAGTCTGGCCCGCTGCTGGGCAAGCAGTTCTGGCTGCATCTAGCCCGCTGCTTGTGCGCGGTACTGGTTTGCAGGCGGCATCAAATATTGTGCAAATGACAGAATGACCATATTGGGTTTCAGCGCGACCGGGGAAGCGCGCGGAAAGGTTTGCCCTCACCCCTAAGAGAAGCGCGTTGAAGCAGGCGCGGATGGGGGGCAGCCCACCGCGCCCCGCGCAGAAGAGCACTCCTGAGGTGGCGCTGTGACAGAAGAAGTTCGACGACAGCATGGCCGGAGCATGCGAGGGCCCGCGAGCTCCAGTGACACTGGGTGGCATGGAAGCACTTTGGGTTCCGCACCTGACCCCAGTCGCAGAATCAGTCCAACGTTTGGCCACCGACTTTTAAGAGTTGCGGCAGAAGGTTGAAAGCGACCGGGAGGACGTGGACATCTTGCCGAATGATTTCGCGACGATGGACGGGCAAGTCGAGCGCGACATTTTGAAGCGCGCCGCCGGTATCGAGAAGGGCATCGGAGATGTGAAGACGCATGCCGAAATTCTACGGCCTGCCACCTCAGCAGCAACAGCAGCGAGCGGGGAGCCTGCATTGGCGCTCGCTGGCCCCCCGCGGCCGACGCGGGCAGGCGCCGCGGAGTTGCGCCGGAACGTTTTGGCGGCAGCGGAGATTGAGGCGCAGGACGTGCACGACAACGATCCAGCAGAAGACCTCTAAGGAAT